ATATAGTATATTTAATGTTTTTATGAAAAAAAGCAATGTTTGAAGAGAACAGTGAAAGTAGGAGAGTTACAGCAGTGAGTAACATTTACCCACAGGCCTCAAAAAAATGCCTATTTTTAGTAAATGACTAAAATAACCTGTTTTTGTCTGTGCAGTTTGATAACGCTGTGTATTTCACATAATCAAATGAAGCTCTACCAGAAGCGCTAGATACACCATACTGAATCCCACTGATGTAACTACTAAAAATGTTTATTACATAGAAGTCATGACAAACATTCTGTATAGTTAAAACTGTTATACACATAGTCAGCATCCACCATGATATTTTTACAGTAACAAGCAGGTAGGTTAGGGTTGTCTAGTGCGCATTTTTGACTAAAAGTGCATTTGTCTTTAACCACCTGAGCACCAAGGTGTTAAACTCCCTTCCTGTCCAGGCTTTTTTCCAGCACTCAGCGATGCTGTATTTTGACTGACATTTATTCAGTCGTGCAACGCTGTACCAACATTAATTTTATAACACTTTTTTTTGGAAATACATGGGGGAATTTATCAAAACTGGAGTAGACAGAATCTGGAGCAGTTGCCCATGGCAACCAATCAGCATCTCTCTTCAGTTTGCTCAGGTAAGATAAGTGACAGGTCCTCTTTATGAAGACATCAGGGGTCTATTAGACCCCTAATGTAACCTATGGACCCCAAAAGAAGCTGATGAAGCAGATCTGCTTCACCAGCTTCTACTCTGGCTACAGAAGCTGGAGCTGTTTAAAATGCTGACAGTTTCCCACTTATGCGCAAGTGGGGCTGCGCACACAAGCGAGAATGGGAAAAGGACTCGCATTCAAGAGTCACCTCTTCAGCTGTTTAATTAGAACTGCCAGATAGGAAGGAGTTAAAGTTCCATCTTAAAAAAAGGGAAAAAGATCATTGATTTTATTGCGTAAATGAAAGAACTCTTCTCCCTGTTAAAGTGAAACACCAACCAACACTTTTTTTTTAGCTTTGGATATTGTTGTGAAGGGTTAGAACTTCTGAAACGCTTATATAGTTGCCTGAGGTCCTAATGTGGACATTTTCCCTCACTTTCTGGACAGGAAGAAGGAAATATTTCTCTAAAAGTGACATTGCAGCAATAAAATGCTTTATTATCATAATGGAATAAGGTTAGAGCCTTATTATTGCTCTGTGTCCCCGTTGGAGGTACTGTGACGGACCCCCGTACTCAGGATGAGTATGTCCGCCGCTGTCTTCTTCCTTGCTGAGGAGATCTTGCAACCTGAAGATCCTTAGCTCCCAGTTTCCCCAGTCACTAGCCAAGGCTCGAGTGTAGGTGAAACAAACTCTGCTTTATTGAGCAACTGCACAAACTTTTATACAGCAAGTGATGAAATCAGAATATAATCCCATCACATCCACCCTCCCCTCCTCCCAGACAATCGGTCTGCTCAACACCACAGGTGTCCACCTGCTAACGAACTCCAGAAAGCCATAGCAGGAGCATGTCATTGTTCTGAGCTCCTTCAGAGTACAATGGGAGATAACGAGGGATGGTGCCGATACTCTTTCCATAACCAGGTCACACAGCATAACGCACTCAAACATAACCCAACACCAATACACATTTAACTTATAAACTGATCACCATGTCGTCACAGGTACCCCTTCACTTCTGTCCCAGTAATAACAAAGTGATGGGAAATCTACCCAACAGGACCATAGACAACCCAAAAAAATCTATTTTAACACTTTTCCACTCTGTTCAAAACTAAAAAAAGTTTAAACTGAAAAGAGCACTATGTGCCAAACTTTTTTTGCCCTAGTTCGATTTAAAAAACTCAGCATATTGCCCGCTATATGCTGACAGCGCAGAGCACTGCAGTCGGACTATATGCCGCTATATGCTGACAGCGCACTGCAGTCGGTATCCACCCCGCTACCTGATTGACAGCTGGCCCTGCCTTTCTAGAAGCAGCACCAACTGTGCCCGCCCCCATCTGTCCCTCCAGTACACGCTGGAGGAACGGAGAGGGGAGGAATCCCTGCAGGGAGCGGTGAATGACAGTCACTGCCCTCTGCCGGGAGATGATCAGGAACTGAGCGATCAGCGGTATGTGATCAATGGAGCCGACGTGTGACAGCTTCAGTGTCACACGTCAGCTCTAATTAGGGGGATAAGTTTATTTCACTCTCTTCATAATTCTCCTTCAAGTTGCACTTATGTTCAGCTATAGGAAAGACATTTAGTCATAAAACCAGTAATAAGAAGGTCTTTTATGTGAACCATAGAAACTGTTATTAAAAAATGACTTTTTGACTTTTTCAAGAGATAACTTGGGTGAAATCAAGAGATATGAATATGGGTAAATTCATTTATAAAATAGTAAAAATTATACGACAAACGATAATACAAACTCACTTTCCATAGCAGTTACCGACTCTTGGAGAAGAGCTTCTGGTGATTTATTAGCCATTTCCAGGTAAGTAACATTTAGAAGAGATGCTTCACTGAACACCGGCTCCAGCAGATGCCAGTCCTCATTAAATTTGTTTATGAGTGCCTTCAGAGGCTCCATCTCAGGCACATCTGGAAATCCGCCCTCGGGAACTTCAGGTAAAACAATTTCTGTTAGGAATTAAAATTAATTGTACCTGTTCAAGGTAATCCTAAGAAATCCTAACATAGAATTATAAGTCTATCCGATGAACGTTGAGAAAAAGAAAAAGTGTGCTCCACATAACACCCAGTTAGATTCATATTGTTATTCTAAAGTAGGTAAGAAAATTGAAGAAATCTTAGAAAACATGTAGCTGTAGGCAAGACTCATGGGTGCAACGTGTAGAGGTTCTCACACTGTGGCTATGAGGGTATAACATATGGTAAGGGTGATCAGTAGAAGATTGTGGTTGCATCAGGGGTAGACAACCTTGGTACACCAGTTGTGGTGAATCTACAAATCTCTCTGTGAGTTATGCCTGTGGCTGTCAGAGTCTTCCAATGCCAAGGCTGCCTACTCCTGGGTTAGATAGCTGCAACCTGAGTTTCAGTATTTACTAGCTCTGGTCTTCTGTTCCTCTCTGCTTGGTCACATATCCCTGGCTCCTATGTATCCCTCCTCCAGTCAGGCCATGAGTAAAGGCAAAAAGTGGAGTTTGCCGGTGCTGAACAAACATTAGTTAACCCATAAATTGGCCATACATGTTTTAATCTAATTGTACAAGCCCTAAATGCAATCTTAGGGCTTACCTAAACAATCTAATACATGATTATGCAATCAGGCAGGCACTATGTAGTTCATGATAGAGCTAAAGAGATTGAACAATCGCAATGTGTATGGTGCACTTTAAATTGAGGTTGCAGACTGCATGCCAGTAGTGCAGAGGTGTCGTGACACTGCAGCATTTTCTCCTGCTGGGATGATATGGTGTACAGAGAATAAATCGCAGGGTTCCTCATTATGTTGTTAGGACACTGAACATTCTAGCATTTGAAATCCTGAGGTTTACTTAAGTAAAGTTTAAGAGCAGTGCTCAACCTTAGCACAATACAGTTTTATCCCACCCCTTAAAGTGGGCCTTTACCCACCCCCCACCCTCCTCCCTTGATTAAAAATGACATCAGCATACAGCTCTGTATGCTGATATGAAAATCATCTTACATTCATTAGTTAAAAAAACACATTTTCATTTTATTACATTTTCTTGTTTTCTACTTCCTGATCCTATTTAGCAGGAGTCATGTAACGTGGCCAAGCATTGCATCCTGGGAAGGTTGCAGCAGAAGAGCATTGCTGGGAAATCTTATCTATAATCTCATGAGATCTCAGGGACAGGCATTTTCCTCCTCTGAAATTATGTGCATGGTCACATGTCCTTGTCACATACGCCAGAGGTCGAGGAAGTAAAGGGAGATGGATTCATCTGCCCTTAGTAAAAATGGCCACTGTGAGAAGAATGGGGAGGAAAAGAAACATAAGGTAGGGGAAGAGTAAGAAGGCAATTATCTACAAGTGTGTGTTTGTACATTGTCATTACTAAACATTTCTAAAGGGGCCTTTGTTGTTATTTTGAAGATATGGGGAAAGTTCCTCTTTAACATGTCCATTAATGTATGGTATGCTTCTGTACAGACATATATCTTTACTACAGTCTGCTCCATTACAAATTACAATGTTGCAAGTGCACTTACTGATACATAGATGAAGAAATAAAGTTACTACAATCATTAAAAGAAAACTCATTAAAATACATATTAGTTGACCTTGTACAGGGTCCATCTGTTGTTCCGGCTCTTGTAATGGATCAACATCTTCTAAACTGGGCTGTGACACATCTTTTGGAGAAGCAGGATCCGTTTGTTCTATATCAGACAGAGGCTGGTCACTGGAATCTGCCAATAAACAGAAACCCCTTTCATCATAACATATATCACTGCTAACATGTAAAAAACATCAAAATTACTATTCTTACTAGTTTTCATCTTTTCTTACCATAACTAAAACTACATTAGAAATAAGTAACTTTTAGACATTAGCAATCTACTTCTTTAATTACATATAATTACAAAAACCATAATGTATCCTTATTATAATATATCATTAGGTACGCATCCAAGTGTTCCATAACTATAAAGATCACAAATTACGGTACCCCGTGGTGCCTTTATTATCTTTTAATCTTTTTACCATTAAGAGGATCCATTATTCTATTCTATTTTGTTATATATGGGTAAAGTTTGCTTGTATGAGATAATTATCACACTTAGATAAAATGTATCTTTGCCAACAAGTGCCATCACCCAGTATGTTAAATATGAGTGACAGTTCATACTTGTGCTGGAAAATGTTTTAATCATTTAAAGACACGTTCATAAGTTTGTTAACTTGTGTTAGCATTTCTGTGCGCTGGGTGTTATTAATAACAAGAGTTTTATGTCATGGGGAGGGTAAGTTATGAAATCTAGGTTTACTTTCCATATTAAGGGTGCATTCAACTCAAAATCGGAAGGAAAACGCAAGCCAAAGAAGGGTCCATTATCTTGTAATTGCATATTTTGATTTCTTTCCGATCCATTGCGTTGCGATCTATTTTTCAACGGATGCTAACAGAAGGGCACCAAAAAATGAATGGATGTGAATAGGGCCAGTTCACACTGCATACGTTATGTTGTGCTTAAAAAAACACAATGTAATGTAATGCAATGTAACGGAACAGAGCGTTGTGAAGTAGCCCCATTTGCACCCATTAATTTTTCAATACAACAGATGCAGTGTGAATGGGCCCTTAAGTGACACTTAACTCAGAAGTTAATTCTTAAAATGAATTGATGTACCCCAACTAAAAATGTAGTTTATTTGTGTAATCACATGGAAGGACAGTGTCCGCTTGAATTCAGAGATGATTTAAGGATCTACAGCCAAGTGATACACAAACAAGTTACAGTATTGTTAACTGTTAAGGTACTTAAATGTGTTTTTGAGATTTATCTCCTGAGTTTAGTGTCACTTTAAGGATGGGGACATTTAGCTAGTTCCTTGCTTTGCAACCTACTATTCAATGTGAATCCCAGACATATATAAAATACTATTTAATGCAGTTGTGTATTCATTTAAAAAAAAATAATATATTTTATATACAAGCAAAAGTACTTCAATCCATATAAATACCAGTATCTGTCATCCCCCTTTCACAGAACATTCTAAAGCCTAGTACTTACCTTGTAGCTTTTCTTCAATAGGTTCTAAGGGGTCTTGCATTTCCTCCTGCTGTTTCTTCTGTTCTAACTGCAATCTCATTATCTCCTGCTGTTCTTTTCTAAAAATAAATAATTAATAATGATAATAAAATATACATAATATACTTTTATAATAGCTTTGATTCCAATTCCTAAACAGACTCTGCCATCTTTGCCACTATATACTCATCTCTCCAGCCCTCCCCTGTTGCTCGTTCCTCAGCAAAATACCTCTGGGTATGGGGAAGCATGTGACCTCCTCCCATGATGTAGTGCTCAAGCCTGGCTGTCATTTCCTAGATCTGAGCACGGTCACAAGATCTGAGCTCCCTAATCCACCTGACACTGAGAATGATGGTGGCCCTTGCAATGGGAGAATGAGGGATAGGCGAGGGGGGGCACAGGAGAGGTCAGTCACTTTGCTCTAAATGTCTCTTTAAAGAAATATTTAAAAAAAAATAGATATAGTCTCCCCTGTTTTATATATATATATAGAATATATGTTATGTGTATGAGTGAGGTTAAGTGTGCAGGGTACACTTCTCTGGTTGGGTTAGACTTAGCATGACAGTTAAGTGTTAGGGGTAAATGGTAAGGCATAGATTACATGTTGCAGTTCAACTCTATCTCCTCCTCCCCGTTTGCTGAATTTCATTCTACAGTCCTACCTATTTCTACAAAAGTCATACAGATACACCCAATGTCTAGGGTCACATAGGTAGGAAACCAACTACCCCACTGATATATTTTTTGTTTGATGGAGAAAATGAATGTACTTAGAGGAAATCCAAGCAAACATGGAGAAAACACAAACTCAATGCAGACAGGAGCACCGGTGGAGAGTAAGCCCAAAATCCCAAAGCTACAGATTCACATTGCTTAGAACTAAGCCTATGTTTTTAGTACAAGCTATGTAAAATGATATACCACATGATAATAAAAGAGACAGTAATACCTTGCTTCTTCCTCTTCCTGTAGCTTTCTTGCCCTTTCCTTCTCAAGTCTTTGCATTATATTATTATTTATTTCCTCTTTATTCAACAAGTACAGTCTATTTAACAGACAGTTTCCTGAAATACAAGGATATGTCAGCGTATAATTGGGAACCTTTACAAGCAATAAGAGTACAGCTTAAATGAGCGAATCAAAGCTTGATTTCTAAAAGAAATGTTCAGAGGAAGATAAATGAAACTCAAATATGAAGAAGTCTAAAGATATAAAATAGCATGATGAAATGAAGTCAGGTTATTAAAACTTCAGCATAGAAAACTGGATGCAAAATACAGCTGTTGCCAGTAGCAAATGAACTACCTTGTTGGACATAAAAAAGGAAACCTGCTTGGTTGCTACTGCAAATCTTCACATCTGCACCAGTTTTCACAATATGATAGAATGTGCCACATCTTCTAAACTATCTAATTTTGATTTTTTTTTTCTATAAGATTTTTCGGCGTGTATCACTCACCATTATCAGCTGCGTTCCTTAAGCAAATGACAATATCAGGTAGAAGCCCCTTTTCACTAACAGGTATCCAAAAATTTGGGGAATTTGGGAAATTGTCTAATACCCATCCTCCAACAGCTGGGGCACCAGGAAACCGCTCTTTATTTTCTTCATTGAACTATAAAATGTATAAACCAAAAATCAAGGTTTAAAAGAAAAAAAATCAAACATTGCATACAAACCAGAAATGATTAATGCATTAAGTTAGACATGCAATACCCCCAAACCAGACTCAGATGTTGCCCTTAACTATAATTGATTTTGTTTGCAACTTGCAGTTACAGACAACTTGTCCGTCTGTGTAATGGATTATAGAATTCCTATATATGAGTTCAAGGAGTGTCAAAACTATACAATTTTATATTAATATTGTTCAATGCAGGGCCTTAGATATTTTTTTTCCCTGGGGGGGGTTCAGCTTCCTCAAATTATAAGACTTTATCTAGCAGACACACCAAGGTTTGAAAAAAAAGCGACATCCGTGGCCACTTCAGCACCCCACACACACACATTATATGGGGCTTCTCGGTCAAGAGTGCGGTGGGACTATTTGCCTGTGACTATTGGCCAGTGGGTCCCCGTGTGCCTTCCACTTTTCTAGGTGAGAGGCTCCTCAGCCTTCCCCTAGCACAGCACTGTCAGTTCTTGCGCCGAGCAGCCATTCAAAATATGCCTCCCAGAGTCAACATGACATCCCTGGAGTCCCTTTTGATGGGTTCTTCAGAACGCTGTTAAACGGCCGGGTGTACGTGACCCCCTCTGCCCTCCCCTCGCTAGCCACTGCCAGGACACTCTGGGGGGGGTGGGGGGTTTGAACCCCCCTATCCCCCCCCTTAGTTACGCCCCTGGTTCAATGAAACTAAATGTTGTTTGATCCTGTCAGAGTAAGTCTCCTTTTATACCTAGGCGTATTGTCGCAGCCGATTCAGTGCAACAAAAACACTCCACCCAAGGAATCCTATTCATTTCTATGGCCCCCGTTCACACCTGTGAGTTTTGTCGCAGGCAGAAATAACCCGGTCGCTCGAAATAGTACATGAGCTACTTTGGGGCAGATTTCAGCGTGTTTTGTCCCATAGACTCAAAAGAACATGCTTTGAAAACGCACGTTGCTATTTTTGCACGTTTTGCCCATTCACATGAATGTGCCAAAATCTGATCACAAAAACATATGACTTAACATACGCACGTAAAACGCGTGCAAAAAACTGTGCAAAAAAGACACGTGTAAAACAAGCGTAATAGATGTTGCCTAGGTGTGAATGGATGGTGACCAAGGTAGTTGCGCTAGGATATATGAAAAAATCAGAAACCAAAATACAGAGAAAATAGAAAAAGATATAATAATATCAAAAAATATAATAATATCAAAAAATATGATCCAAATGATTATAATCCAGCTGCAGCAATATCTATCGAAGTGATCAATTGTAAACCAGTGTGCTGCGCTTGGTATTGTGATACGTGCTATATACTCCGGAGGGATCAACCAGAAAGCCTTTTTGAGAAAGTCTCTACGACGAAACGCGTAAAAGGAGTGTGTCGTTTCCCCGCTGACACCCTGGAAAGAGGCTAGCTATAAGTTGCTTATGCTGTTGTACCTTTGGAAGTCTGTAAGTGCAATCATTTTTAAACTACTTGATAAATAAAACATTTTACATCTGCACTTAAATCCTGTCTTCTCTCCTTCGGTCGGTCTCCCCCTCGGCTTTCTGGTTGATCCCTCCGGAGTGTTCTCCAGCCTTGGAGGTTGTTTAATTATCGCCGATGAGAGGAAGTGTAGCCTGACGGCAGGAGAGGACAGAGAAACTTACAGAGAAGGTTTCCTTTTTCTATTTTGCGGACGCATCAATGGAAGTATAAACAAAAGACACTGGATTTCTAATAACATTCGGTAGAAAATAGACTATTGGTGTTACAACCCTCGCTTATACAATTTTATATTTATCCACCTATATTTATTCACTTTATACCATTAGATGTGGTTTTAGATGTGTTAGATTGGTTATACATCAGTCTTCCTTTAAATTATTGTCCTTTTTATTTATTGTTGCCGATTGCCAGACTGATTAATTTACCTGGTTTATAATTCAACCATTTAGTATCCACATTGTATTTTCACTATATGGCACACATATGCATTATTCATTAACTTATTTAACTTATCATATTTAACCAATCAGTTTTATATTCGTACCTTCACCATATTTATATGACACGTGTATTTATTAACGTTCATGCACATATGCACTTTTGGATTGCATTTAGTTGCAAGTAGGATTTGATCACTTATATTGGTTTCGTTTGTGGTATAAATATAGCACGTATCACAATACCAAGCGCAGCACACTGGTTCACAATAGGTGTGAATGGAGCCTTAGTCTGACAGACTGGTAGAGTTCTATGATGAGTGTGGGACTGGACAACAGAGAACAGTACATAAAAGTAGACTTTTATTCTGATTTAATAGAGGAAATTCACCTAGTCATTTAGATGACAAGAGCACTAAAAAAAAGGAATGACCTTGTTTAAAGTGCCACAATCTAATTCATTTGTAAAAGGTTACCGCATGTGACAAAGTACCAATGAGATATAACAACAGCTGTAGCATCATGGAATTTGAAATACTGTACAATAATAGACACCACCCAGCTCTGAGTTATAAAACAAATTGAGAAAAGTTACCTTTGCTTTAACATCTCTTGTTAATGACCTTGTCACATAAAATAAGAAACTTTTTTTCCCCATTATTTTTCAACATATATTTAAAAAGTGCACCTGATGTTTAATAGGCAAATTTCCAGTGTTTGCAAATTAGAATATTCAAAACATATGACATTGTAATTAGTCTAAATTACAAACAACAGTATACATTATTTATATTGCAGCAACATCTGAACTAACCTACTAGAGCAATTACATACATAATCTATTAATCATACCTCTGTTATAGCTTTCTCCAGTGCACTGACATAAACATCTGCACCTAATGTTACTGGAGTCTCACGTGCAATTTTCATAGCTTCCTCAACCATTTGTTG